CGTGAAATATCCGGATATTTGATATCCGGATATGGGATTCGGATATCCGGATATGAGAATCTGGATATCCGGATATTGTATATCCGAATATGGTCAGTGAGATATCCGGATATTACATATCCGGATATGTCCCGAGGAATATCCTGATATTCTGGGATTTCGAAGAACAGTAGCTGTGTTGTGTGTACAGTAGGCTATTGGGGGTTTGTGGGCCCTAGATTGATGAAGTTGAACTTCTGTAATTAATGAACTAAGTCAGAATCATGTGATTAAGGGCTTGTGGCTTCGTTGGAAGCCTTAAGACGTAAATCGTTAAAGGAGAACGTAGTCTTTATGTTAATGCTTTTGAGCTATGTATGTTGATATACTTGTTGGTCCATATCAGATTGTGATCTGCTGTGTGTTGGACTTGAGCCGTGTGGACTCTTGGCATTGGATAGTGAGCTTGCAAGGTAAGCTTTCGTGTCCTCGGTTTAGCCATGTTGTGGTTCCACCATGTCCCATGGGGGTATGGTTATATGCATGCTGTGTTACATGCTTTTGATGTTTTGGAAATGCTATTGAGCTGTTATATGCTAGTGTCTTTATGATATGCATGTGGTGTTCCACCTATACGGTAAGCCTGAGTATGTGGTACATACAAGATGGTGAGGCTGTGGGTGAGGTGCAAGCGGTGTTCCTTGTACTACATGTAGGTATAGACGTATTCCTGCATTTCTCTGGCCAGTAGAATAGTGATAAACACACATGGCATGAATATCTGTTGCACTGCATAGTTTTGGAACTTATATTGATATGAATGCTTTTAGAACTTATATTGCACATGTAAGTGAGCTTGGGGTGGAAGATCCTTGAGGACCCCTTATCTTACTGAGATTTATTGTTAGAGATCTCACCCCATGTTTGGGGAATGCTTATTTCAGGGTCAGGTAATGTTGAGACCTCAGGCGGCAGGAGGCCGGAGCTGAGTTAGCTAGTGATGACATTATATGCTGGATGCTGGATATGCTTGTTGTTTCTATGCTTTTGCTTAATGTTATGATTTTGGATTATCTTGTTGAGACACTGTTGATTTGGTGAGCATGGGGATTGTCCATGCCACGTAGACTTGTTATGTCTTGCTTTTATTAGAGTTGTATTAATGTATCAGGATATTGTCCGGATTACGTTATGTAATGTCGTGACTTAGATACTCACTTTATTTATATATTGAGGTATTTCAGTAGATGTCTTATTGCAATTTACATTCAGGCGATATTTTATGAAATTGATTAAGAAATCAAATTGGTAATTGATAATGACATCATAATTGAAAAGAAAAAGAATATTCTGCATTTTTAATTAGGCGTAGCTTAATACGATGTAATGATAACACTACCGGATATATACGGGGTGTTACACGAAACGGGGCGGCGTGAAGCGGCCCCTGATCACAAGAACAACCAGAAGGCCTAGAATGACTCCTTCGAGACAAGCGGGGCCCAGTCCCCTCAATTGACCCTCCTGACCGTCTTCTCCTAGATCCTGCTCTAGATTGTCTCTCTCCAATCGCCTCATGGCGTCCACCACGAGGACGCGAACTAGACGCCTCACCGGAATACGGAAGGACCGGTCCTAAAGCCCTTTCCGGTAGGAGATTTTGAATCTCCTCCTCGCTAAAACCCAGAAGTTCGGGTATTTTGCCATGGGGTAACTTCTCAACCCCAGGAATTAGAGAGCGATTTAAAGCACGACTTGCAAGATACTCCTGCATAGCTGGCCCCACCACACTGTCATCCAGTGTGTCAAAGGCTTCATCAAACTCTTCCTCCTTAATTTCCACTTCCAACTCAGGCAATATTAAACCGGGGATGGGTTCTATGAACTTGACCATCGCAAGAAAAAGGTAGAAGGGAAGCAGAACCAAAGAAATACAAAGAAATGACAAAGGAGGAAGCCAGAAACACTATACCTGGGTAATGCAAAGAAGGAGGAAAAGAAGACCGGTAGTAGCACACTCACAAGGAAGGGAAGTAGGCTGGAGCAGTAAAAAGTCTGGGTTGCGTGAAGAAGGTCCCCAAGGACGTGTTTCCCCCCTTTAAATAGGAGGAAAAGGGGAAGGAGGACGCACACGTGTAAGGTCCTCCTCACCCAACCGTTAGATGGCATAACTGTCATACAACGGGCGGTTGTGATGAGGGGTCAAATGGTAATTGTAAGGGGACAAATCACCCCTCACATCGCATTAATGCGCCGTGCCTCATGACGTTTGAGTAATAGCTATTAATAGCAATGATGGAAATACCCATCATTACTGCTCCTCGAAAAACAAAAAGCCACCTTGCCTGTCAGCATGGCAGCCATTTCCAAAAAGGCACTAGCCGACCACTTAGATCGACCAGAGGAGAACGCTAGACTTCAGGGTGCAAGAGTAACCCTACCCACGCCCAGGGAACCGCTCGGGTCGCCAAGAAGGCAACGCCAAACTCCAAGAACTCGCTACGGTCGTCAAGAAGAACCCTCCCCACGCCTAGTAAATTTCATATCGCCAAACAAAGCGTCGTCGAGGCTTATTTACCTTGGCACCAACCTGTCGTCCAACGACTGTAACTTGGCACCAACCTACGCTTGCTACCAAGCAGGGGGGCTCCTGTTCAGGATGGCCCAACTACTAGCGGCCCAATGGCTCAGGCCCAACTCCAGGCTCCAACCCACATCAGCCCTAAGGGCTGACGTAGATCCTCACATCCCTCAATGCTGCGACGCGTCCAAGGGGAAGCACCAAAATGTCCCATCTTGGGACCTTAACCCCCAAAGGCGATCGTCACAGGCACCTTAAAAGGAAACTGCCCCTTTTGCCCAACGCTGACATTGCCAGGCACAGAAGGCGCAGCGCTGCTACAACAGCAGCGCCTGTCACGCCAAACACTGCCACCACGAGAGTGAATTCCAAGGAGGGTTGACTCCCTCCTCACCAACCCACACCACTTTCCCTATAAATAGCCCCCTGGGGCACACATGAAGATATCTTATGTATCGTTATTCTGCTCATTTACTTTGAGTCACATTATCACTTACCTATCCATTGTTGATTGCTTGCTTATACTTGGCAAAGTACCTCTTAGTTTGGTCTGTAACTGTGCTAAGGGTATTATCCAGACAGTGACTCATCCCTAAAGGGAACATAGTGAGCTTATAGATCCTAACGGTAGAGTACACATGGTGTGTATTTCGTATGTCATTCTTATTGGGTTTAAGTTGTTCTCTTGTACCATTTGCCAATCATGTCCATGCAAGGAGGGTATAAACCACTTTCCCTATAAATAGCCCCCTGGGGCACACATGAAGATATCTTATGTATCGTTATTCTGCTCATTTACTTTGAGTCACATTATCACTTACCTATCCATTGTTGATTGCTTGCTTATACTTGGCAAAGTACCTCTTAGTTTGGTCTGTACCTGTGCTAAGGGTATTATCCAGACAGTGACTCATCCCTAAAGGGAACATAGTGAGCTTATAGATCCTAACGGTAGAGTACACATGGTGTGTATTTCGTATGTCATTCTTATTGGGTTTAAGTTGTTCTCTTGTACCATTTGCCAATCATGTCCATGCAAGGAGGGTACCCTGCCAGCCTCAGAAGCACTCCTCAGTCTCAGAAGCACTTCTGCCTGGTCCCTGACGTAGATATGGAAAATATATACAATGATTTCATTGCACTTCTCATTTTTTAATGAATGATAATGCAAAAAAGAAGTTGGGTTGATATGCAGTCTACTTAATAGCTTATATACCCTTACGAATTTTGAACTATGTTAATAACTTTATAAAAACATTTGTTTAAAGTGAAAGCTACTGTGACTTTATTTAACTGAGATGTGTTAAAGACTTCATACAATGCAATAAGGGATGCGCAGTCCTGTTAAAGTTTCGGTCATGAAAAATAACAGGTGAGCATTTCCATGTAATTTCCAAACTAAAATCTCTTATGGGTGTTCCTCAGAACCAGGCAACATGAGGTCATTTGTTATCAAAATTTGATAATTACAGAAAGCATTATTTCAACTGATCCACAAACTCGTTGGTGAAAAAATATACTCATTTACTAGTTGTTTATTCCACATTTGATGAATTATAGATAATTAAGTCACACAGATACACAAACTGATGTAGATGATTACAATGTATCAAATACATATACCATAGACAAACATTGATAAGCAGATAGGTAATTCTAATTTCTGCTATTTGCCATGAGTCATCATGTCGATGTAACACCTCCCACACATTTCTCTGTTGCCACAAGTTCCGGGAGGAACACACTTGCACCTCACTGTTTCCCCGTCTCACAACTCTTATAGCTTACTATGTTCTGTTGACTTCCTCCACCCTTTCCTTAAGCTACATCAATTTCCCTTGTTCATGGTTTGCGCAAAGGTGACTCTATGTCACCCTAGTAATTTGCCTTATGCACGGAAAAGTTGGTTATTTTTATTTCTCACCAGGCCAGTGAGGTGGCTTTGGTATATCTCATATTTTGCTTTTGCTGTTTTTTTAAGGCCCGTTCTTTCCATGAGCTTAACAATTTTTCAATGACCTCAGAACTATAAATGAACCTTAAAAAATTCTAACGTAGAGCACAAAATTACGTCTTTGATCTGAGACAAAAGTCAACATCATCAAGGGTGGAGTGAATGACATTATGAAAGAAGCCAAAAACCTAAGTAGAAAATAATCAAAAATGTAAACAACATCTTTCAACTTTTGAAAACTAACCACTTGAGCAACCACATGAACTCACACCACCCAAAAGTCAGCGGCTCAAGTTGACCAAGTCTTTCTTAATCCAAGGTTTGAATCCCATCTAGAACATTTTGACTGTTACTTATAGCTCGATATTTTCCTCCCCCATGATAGACCTCCTTTGTAACAAGAAAAAATAATCTCTTCACATCAAGAAAGAGTCTATTGCTCCATAAAAGCTAGAGACACTGCCACATAAGTAATGAGAATATGCACTAATTGATGGCAAACAACATTTCTAGTATCTTTTTTGACCAACCGATATGAAGGTAAACCACTAAAACAAATCTTCTCAGATTATTGGCTGTAACAGAAAAAATATTTCAGCTTCCAACACACTGTTAGGGTTTAAGAAGCATGTAAACATATACCAAGTACCAACATACTAAAAGGAAAAGAAAAACACCACATCATATGTTGTTGTTGTATCAAAAATATCAGAGAGAATTGGAAAAATTATCTGACAATAACACCTGGTTAATTCATCTAGACCAGGAGTAACAGAAATAGTATCATCATTTTAACAAATTGGAGCATTACTCTTGCGTATATAAAAAAGAGAACCGAAGTTTCTATGTTAAATTGACAGAATGCTTCTCATAAAGCAGCAGATGCAATAGAACAGTTATGAAATTGCCCCAATGCTAGATCGGAGAAAAATTAAATGCATTCCGAAATTTTTTTTGCCCTTGTTGGATAACATGGAATGATGAGCCGAGTTAATCCATCCTAGATTTACATCTAACTTAAATTTCTTCATATAAATATCAGACTCCAAAATAGCTGAAGTAAATGAGTACCCAAATTCCAAAGGACCACCTAGTACCAAAATTACAACTGAGATAGGTAAAGGGGTTGTAACATCGCCAAGTATATGACAATAGTTGTCTCATCAGTAACTTCACAATGTGTGAATAATACTCCAAAACACAAAATATATGAGAATAAAGGTTAGTATACTCTCAATTTTGATTGTATATAGAGCTCAGATACCCTCATTAAAGAAAGACTTAAAATAAGGACATTTATATATCAAATGAGTGGAAGAGAAATCAAAAACTCACATTTGCTACAAATGAACTAATTTGATTGGTCAGATAACAATCTAACAATTGATAAAGGTTAATATAATGTAGAGTATCTAGGGCTGTTCAAAACCAAATAGTATATCAGGTTAATCATTGATACAACAAAACAATGTGAAAATCTCAGTTGAAGTTGCTATATAGCAAACTCGTAGAACATAATATCAGAAATTCTTGATTGGAGAATGATAAAACGAGTTGAGACAGGCTCCCAAGAAGGAAATATATTTGGAGTTTGGTCTCTTCTGTATGCCTTAATTAAAAAAGATAGTCACGATCTGCTGAAAGTTTTTTGTACAATTATTCTTATATGTTTAAATTATTTTTCCAACAATAGTTAAAATGCAGAGAGAGCAAGACAGTTCATCAATCTTGGATGACAAAATGAAGTCAATTTTAATCTAATGTGTTCTGACTATTCAAATTAAAAAAGAAAAAAGAAAAACACCATAGTGGAATTGAAGATAGCCTATGAGTGGTGTAAGTAGCATACTAATGATTCGGTACTAACTAAAATCAGAGACACAAACCATCAAGTGAAAAGTAAATATCATAGAAAATGAATTTTCAACTTCTTCAATCAAGTACGGCCAACTAAAAACTTCAATGAGTAAATTATATCAAGGCGATCTGTCTGGCTTCTGACCTTTGTATGCATCCAACAGTTGTGGCACTTTTTTCTGAAATCGGGTCACATATCTCTCGAAAAAAGTTTTCTCAGTAATTGATATAAAGCTACCTATGCGCAAATCTCTCTTTATCAAACCCCTTGACTTCAAAATTTTAACAACTGCACATCTAGGGATCAATGTATTCTCCAAGTTGCGGTTAAGAATCCCAGGACTTCGCACAATTTCTTCTGAGGGAAAACCCATATCCTTCACCAAGAAGCCCATTATTTTCATAATCTTGTTTTCTGACATCATCATATACTGGGGATACTTTTTGAAAGCTATAAGACAGATATCTTTAGACAAGCCCCACCTCTCATAAACCTCTAACTTCAATTTCCACATTGCTTTATCCATCTTTGCAAGTACTTGAAGAGCCAAAACAAAATTTGATTTCAAAGGATCAAACCCCATTTCCTTCACTGTCTCGACAGCCTTAACAAATCTCGAATGCTTCATGAATACTACACGAGGAAAATTGGTTACGAGGAGTGAAATGGAACCTTGAGGCAGGCCAAGCTGTCTCAAAACCTCTATGTTTGGAACTGAATCACTCATTACCCTATAACAGCAAAAGTACCGTGGCCCATTTTTCAAAGTTGAAACTACTTCCTTATCACTGCGAACTAGACTCCTGATGATCTTATAACGAGGGATAATGTTGTTCTTCAAGCTTGTGTGTAAAATTGTAGGGTTCCCAGCGAGGATTCTAGGGATGTCAGTGGTTGAAAACCCAATAGAACTGAAGAACTTGAGTTTTGGCAAAAGGGTCTTGTCAGGTTTTGCAAAAAGCAGTGAAGGTTTTTTCTTGACAAGGCTACATAATTGGGTCTGAGAGAACCCATAGTTCCTGAGAATATCAACAACAGCATTTGGGTCATCTGGGTTTTTCAATTGCAACTTTTTGCAGAGTTTGAGGACCATTTCAGGGGACAACCCACATGAGTTGATGAGGGTTGATACTGTAAAGGAGCCACCTTGGTGGTGATTTGTGTTGGATACTGATAAAGAACGAAAAGTGAAGAAAAAAACACCCAAGTTGGGGGTTCTAGAAGCTAATCGAGAAATCAGAAAATGGTGCATTTTGTAATGAATGGGAGTAGTAGATTGATGACTCACCAAGTTTCAGTTTGCAGGGTTATGCTTCCTTGCATGCATTCTTCACCTTTCACTGCCTCAAAGTGATTTCAACGTTGAATGACGGCACCGCGGTGGAACCGAATGAAAGTCTATATGTTGAAAGGGAAATGAACGAGTTTATGGGGGATTTGCATTCCAACGTTTAACGATTGCCAATCTGATAGGAAAAGAAGGAGAAGGGGAGAAGAAGAGAGGGAAAAATGAACGCGAATTGTTTGTTAAAAGTACAAGGGGTGACGCATGAGAAAAAAAAAGTTTTTAGAATGTGTCTCTGTCCTTAGAAATTACTTAGAAATTACTAAAAACAATAAAAATTATTTAATAATTACATAAAAATTTGAGTTTAAAAAAATTATTTACAGGCATATGTTTCAAAAAATTTATTCTTGTCTCTATTTTTATAGCTCTTTATTTTAAAAAAAACACATAATTCAAAAAAAAAAAGTAAATAAAAGCTTAAAAAAATTTCATCTCCGGAGCTTTTAATTTTTAATTTTTTTCTTCATTACCAAAAAAAAAATTTCATTATAAGAAATTTCTCAAAATCTGTGTATTCTAATTTATACTTATAAGTAAATTTTAGTTTAAGAAAAAAAAAAATCACTTAGGTAGTGTTTGGTTGGGGAGAAATTTTATAATACTAGGGAAATGTAAATACTAGGAATCTACGGGGAAAGTGAGTTAGATAGGAAAATTTTAAAAAAGTTGTTTGGTTGGGCAAAATTTTACCAGGAAAATTGAGTTAAATTACTGAATGTGTGTTTGGTTGAAGATAAAATATAGATGGAAAAATTTAATCAAATTACAAAATAACCCCCAACACCATATAACCCTGTATGCAGTGCACGTATGAATAACAGAATTTTTTTCTGAGAGTGAGTATTAAACCGTATGCAGTGCACGTATGGATTTTATTCATGCATTATGGAGAAACTAGCCTACATCATCCCAAGACTTATAATGGGGTAATACTCTTTTAAAATGAAAAACAGAAAAATCATAACATACTTTTGCTCAAGCTATATATTACTGCTCAGAACAATTTGCTGTATTCTCATCACATTGCTAGGTGGTAATGTTATGCAGTGTAATTGTTCACAGCAAAACTATCTTCATGTTACTTTTATTTTTAGGAATCAATTCTGAAAATCGTAAACAAACAACTACACCAGTCAACAAATACATGTTTTTTTATTTTTCATAATATAAAATGGTGTGTAACCTTTTCTTATTGTTAACGTTTAACTTAATTTTTTATTTCCATTGCTAAATTGTCTGTATTAATAATCAAATATATGATAAATTCAAATCTGATAATAATAATAATATTAATAATAACAAAATCTGCTTAAAGAACATAAAACTGTTAAGAAATTTATTTCTGACAGATAAACTATATGACTAAGTGAACTTTATTCATTAACTGTGAAGTATAATACAGTTCCTGCAATGACATAAAGCTCATAGTTTAATCTCATTCACAGTTTAACCTTGCCCGTTCACTACAAATACAACCAAGTGGAATTTCATTATACAATTTCGCGTTGCACTATTTCAAACAAACCCCTTCCCAAAACCCAGTCTTCTATCATTGCTTGAGAATTCACAGCCTTCTCAGTAGGCACAAGATGCCCAGCACCCAAAACCACAACATTGGTGAGTGTCTTCCAACTTTGTACATACCCAGGAAGCTCTCATTCACCTTCCAAATCTTCCTTTCTGCATTCAGAAACTCCAAAATTCCTTCCCATTTCATTGTCTTGACCCATGCCTCAACTTGTACCACTTCATCCCTCAAATCATGTCGACCTTGGTATAACAACACCCTGCTCTTACTCACCAAGTGTTCTACCATATATTTCACACTTTTCATCACATCAGCATGTAATGCAGCATCAACAATGTCACTGTATAACTCATACACAAATGATTCATTCACCCCCAAGGCCTTCTTCACCTCAGCAAAGTTCAAGAACTGAGCAACCAAGTCATCTTCATGTACCTATAACAGCAGCCCAATTTGATGTTCCTCCTACTTCGTAAAGTTCATTTATAGAGGGCCCCCTTCTAGAGAAGAATAATCCCTGGGAGTAAAGTAGTTACCCTTCTCAAGAACAAGCACCTTCAGTCCTGAACTTGCAAGAACAGCAGCTGCATCTCCTCCCCCACAACCAGACCCAACAATTACTACATCACATGATTTCATCTTGACCAATTTGTTTTCAGCATCCACAGCAACTTGAAGACCTTTACTGAACAAGAGACTCAGGCAGACTCAAGTTGGTCTCATTCATAGCTTCCACTATTCCCTTTTCAAGATGCCTCTCTTTGTGAATTTTATGCTTGTGTTCCCATCAGTGTCAACTTCATATCCAATGGCTTCCCATGCTGGGTTTTCACCATTGTCATCACACTGCACACAAGTGAATATTCCTGCAACACACACAATCCAAAAGTGGCATACGGGTTAAAGAGAAAAATGTTACTGAAAGTAGTATGTGAATCAAGAATGTGTCCTTCCATCATTCTGAAATCACATGACAGTTATATGATACAATCAAACCAGAAGCAAGTTATCATTTCCATCAGAAGCAGTATGCAGTGCTTCCCAGTACGGCAGTACCTGCTCAACACTATACATATCGACAACAGAGAAGGGTCTATATTAGCTGCTTTATGAATGCAATAGGGTTCATTCCCATGAGAAGCAGAATTAGGCACAAAATTACAACATACAGAAAACGAAACATAATTAATATCAGAATCCAAGTGCATTACAGCATAGTTTTATAATGTAGTAGTTACAAAAAAACTCCCAATTAAATCTGTTTATAACACACATGACAGTACACCTACATGAACAGTGGACAATATTGACACAACATTAACTATGCTTGTGTGATGACCCTATAGCTGGTCTATAACCTAAAATTAAAACATAGTGGTATATACATCATCCAAAAAATTACATCAACCATTAACAGTTGCAGTAGCACAACAAGTACCAAAAAATATGTGAGTACCACAGTCACACAAAAAAGAGTGGCAGTAGTTTGGCTTCCATGACAAGCTATCACTTTGAAGGTATAATTAGTGTTCGAAATTTGCCAACAACCCAGCAACCAGACACCTTCTATTTTTAGTTACTTTATGCAGACTCTGGGTGAAAAATGAGCTAAATGCAAGTGTATAAGCATGCCAAAGTCAGAAGAAACAGATCAAATTGCTTGGGTTTCTTTTCTACAGGCAATAAAGTAAGTAGGCAAACATGGATAGGATCGATGCCTCATATCTTCATGTGCTGAAAAATAAGTTGAAAAAAGCTAATATGAGATGCTATTTTCTTTATTGGGTGTAACACAGAAAGTCAACTTGTAGCTGTTCGTGACAACATTAAGGTTATTTAAGCTAACAGGGGTTTCAATCACACAGACAATAAATCAAATAGTTTGTTTTGTATTTTTTATATACAAGAACTCTAATGTATTCATTTTCATGTTATGTTTTGTTTTCACCCTCATAGTTATGAAAGTTTTCACACTGAATTTAAATGAGGTATATTTGCCGCTTCTTATTGAATTGATGCATTATAAATGAGTGCGTGGCAGTAGAGAGCATTTCAATTGTATAGTTAACTTTTCTCAACCAGTATGTCATTGAATTGATGATTGTTGAGGGGGCCTTTGTCATAATTGTACTTGAGGACATAGTTTTACCACAATGCTTATAGAAATATCTCGTACAAAGACTAAAAAAAACACAAATCCGAGTTGTATAATGATAAAGTAGGATACAGTCTGGTTGATTGGTGCTATCCATTGATAAAGATGTAATAGTATAAACTAATTTATTTTTGTAAAGGGTGCAAGTGTTACCCATGTTTTTTTCTTGATTTTTATAGGATTAAAATTGCAATACACTTTAAACTGCAGAACAATGAAAAAACATAGAACCAGTAGAGGAACACAACAGAGAATGATTGAACCAAGTGGGTCCTGCGCCTGAAGGAGGAATTTATCGTAAACCCGGAACGAAGGATTTCACAGACAACGGGAGACATGAAGGTCAAACATTAACATAGACATATTATCATCAGCATCAAGATTCAAAGGAAGAAACTTTTTTTAAAATATGCCTTCGATTCCTGCAAAGAAATCCACAAAGTCTTACCGGAATATTGTGATGAAAATAAGAGGATCCCTTGTCTGAACGAAAACAAATCGGGTGCTGGTCTTCAAACCACCGGCTTGTACTTCGCGCTAGATCCGGTTCACAGGACTCTTCTTTCACTAGCTAAACAAAAGGAACGTGCTACGAAAGACAACAAACTTTTAGACGCTTTTCCATTAATTACAGACTAAACTTGATTCCAAAAAACAGAAATGTTACCATTACCTGATAACCGAACACAAGCATCTGGGTTTCCTCAGTCATAGTGAGGTTTGGGTTTCAACGGTTTGGGTTCCAGAGCTGCACAAAGAACAAATATGGAACGCGATAGGGATGTTCGGTGCAAGAATCGAAGTCAGACTGGTGTTCGAATTTGGGGTACAGCTAGGATTAACGAGGGTAGACTTGTCTTAATTTTCATCTAAATTTTCCATCAAAATGGATTTCTCAGCAATACCATCGTCGGAGAGGGAAACTGAATCCGTGATTTTCATTCATTTTTCACTCATATTTCGATAGCTGGGGAAGGAGGAATGATGGCTAAGTTCAACGTTGTCCTCAACCAAACGTGGTGTTTTAGGATACCCACTTACACTTAGATGAGATAATTTTGATATGTCCCGAACCAAACACTACCTTAAAGACTTCGTATGCTGACAGTCTTCGAATGGAGAAGCTCAATAATTATGACATGAATTTCAGTGTTAATTTCAATTTACTTTTTAATTTCTGTTTTAATTTCAATTTACTTTTTAACAACTCTTTTGTTAAAACTGGGATTAGTAGCTAGGATTTTGGTTAGTGATTATAATAAACATAACAAATAATTAAAAGCCACCAAATAGTGTTAAATTAGAACGTCATATTAATTTTTTTTTTATTTTATAAATATCAATTGATGTCTGAAAAGCAAACAGATCGAACTCATTTAGATACGAAGAAAACCATGAGATTGCAGTTAAAGGCTG